AATCAGAAAGGTGCATTTTTCTTCTAGGAAATGTATGATCCAGAATTTAATTTAAACATTCAATATTATCTACCCAATCGAAGTAACATTGATAATTTAAATTTTATCCAATGTGCAGTTTTTCAGCATTTGTCACTTTAGTTTTATAGTTTTTGTAAGAACCATAAACATAAACATTTATGTCATGTTTTATGTCTGAAAAAACTGAGGTAATATTATAACATAAATACGTTTCTGGAAAGACTTGTTTTTCCAAGATATTTGAACATAATTCACAGTGAGGAAGCACTGTGCTAAGGCCCAGGTTGAGGTGTTTTCAATTATAACTGATAAATATTATTCCCTTCCCTGCTTTTTAGAAATAACATTGCCTAATTGCAGAGAGATAAGAATAATGAATCCATCATTTTTATTTCAAAGCTTTTCACCGCATACTCACATAAGGCTGAATTTAATCATCGATGTAAAATATTTACACTCTAGGTTCTTGTCAAGGAGTATAACATCAAAGTTACTCTAATGTCTCAAAAGCTCTACTGGGAGAAATAATATTAATATAAAATTGCCTTGAGGATATACAGTCCATCCACTCACTACTGGTCAGTGGCTGTCAACCCCAGCTGTATGCTACAATCACTTAAGACACTTAAGAAATACTGATGCCTTTTCCAATCTTTAAGCTATTTTGATTTAATTGGCTTGATGTGGGACCTGATATGGTAATAAGTCCCCTTACATAATTCTAATTAAAACCCAAACTGAGAGCCACTGGAATAGAAACTCAAAGCAGTACTTCTCATCCTAGTCTGCATGTTAATATCACAGAGGATGCTTTTAAAAATACTGATGCAACTATAATAAAACATAATAAAAACAAAAATGCTGATGCCAGATCCCCACCCCCAGGATTCTGGCTTAATGGGTGGGCCCCAGGCATAGCAAGGAACTATTTCAAAGCTCCCATAGGTGATTCTAATGTGAAGTCAGGGCTGAGAACCAATGATCTAAAAGTTTAATAGATGAACACCTGGGCCACATTGTTTAGGCTCGTGTAAAATAACAAACACCTGGACAAATATGTCAGCTAGGATACTGTAAAATTGTTGCTCATTGTATTCTATTCAGAGGGTTTTTTTTTTTTTTTTTAAATGAGTCTCATTTTGTCCCCCTGGGTAGAGTGCAGTGGCTCACAGCAACCTCAAACTCCTGTGCTCAAAGGACTCTCTTGCTTCAGTCTCCCAAGCACCTGGGATTACAAGCACCCTCCACAACACCCAGCTACATTTTTTTTTTTTTTTAAGAGACTGGGTTTGAGCAAGATCAAGCTCTCTGGATCTTGAGTTCAGATCAGCCCTGAGTAAGGCTGGTCTTGAACTCCTGAGCTCAGGCAATACATCTGCCTCAGCTTCCCGAAGTGCTGAAATTGCAGGCGTGATGAAGGAGGTTTCTTTCCAGTGTCACAAGCAAAAAGAATTGTGTTAAGTCCTAAAAGGG